CATCCTCTGAAGCATGGAGTCAGTGACCCTCCCTATGGGGAAATAAGTGTGGGGTAACATGTAGGTTGTTTCCTGCCTTCTCCGCCTTCGCTGGTGGTGTTTGCTGTGCATCTCTACTCGCCTAGGATGGTTGGCTGGTGCTATCTCAGTGCAGTTACCTTCTTTCTATTATGTCACCTCACCTTGCTTTCCCTACGAATTATCAAATCATTTGTATCAAACCCCCTGTGTGTGTCTGATGGCCTGGGCTCCACCATCATGCTCGTCACCAACACTGGACCCCAGAGCAGCGCGAGGCACCGAGGGAAGCACTGTACAAACACGGTGATGGGGAGGAGGCATGGAGACCCACAGGGGCAACATATGCCTCAGATCCTGGTATTTTCTCAACTCTTATGTTGTGGTAAAATCTGGGCCCCAGCAAGGCATTAACTTATATTTTTATTTGTGAATGCGTTTGTGTATACAAACTCTTACCTAAATCTGCTAACACTTTACTAATAAAAAATAAAACAAAACCCAGTTCTGCATGCAATACGCCCAAGTTTTAAGACAGGGAAAAGTAAATTCATTAAACTAGTGGGTTTGATGTGCAATTCCTGGTGTCAGATGGTGAAACAGATGGTTTGTAAGCACAGAAGCAAAGAAAACAGCGTGAGTTTACTAAGAGCAAGCCATGCTAAACTAACCTTGTTCCCCTTTATGAGAGGGTTGACATGGATAAAAAAGAGAGATTCCTTAAAATCAGTATATGTCAGTTTCAGTAAGGTTAAAGTGGTTTCTTTTTTTTAAGATTTTAAGATTTATTTATTTATTTATGATAGACATAGAGAGAGAGAGAGAGAGGCAGAGACACAGGAGGAGGGAGAAGCAGGTTCCACACCAGGAGCCCAACGCGGGACTCGATCCCGGGACTCCAGGATCGCACCCTGGGCCAAAGGCAGGTGCTAAACCGCTGAGCCACCCAGGGATCCCCTTAAAGTGGTTTCTTGAGGACAAGACGGAGAAAAGTCACCTGAATGGTAACGTGGTCGATGTGTTGCTACTGAAACACGTGGTCAATGGGCCTGTGGCAGCCTTGATGAAGGTGTATGGTGGCACGTCACAGGACTTTTAATTGTTCCCCAATTTTTTCAGTAAGTTGAATGAAATTTGCATAAACCCTTGCACAACATTTTAGAGATAGTCCGTACAATGAATATAAAAATCAAGATTTTTTTTAAGAAGGAAAATAAACCCAACTGAAACAACACCCCAAACTAATGGATGATTTTTAATAAAGGCAATGTAAAGTCTTAAGTGTGTGTCTTAAAAAATGCACAAGTATATGATGGAGGAGAATTGACTTCTTGTTAGTTCATGAAAAGAAGACATGGATATTTTAGTCAATTTCAAATGTAATGTGAGTCAATCGCATAAAATAGTTTGCTGAGTATTTGAGTAGTATCCATATCAGATGGAAATGCCCATCGCGTTCTACTTTCTAATGGTCACACTCATCAGTAGTGCCACTTCTAAGATCATGTGTCTGGTTTTAGGAAAAACATAAACAAACTGGAGCGGATCCAGAGGATCTGACCAAGTCAGTTGGAAAATGAAGATCCTTTCATGGAAGGGCTTGGGGGAAAGCACCCACATGTACTGAATATCTGTCTACTCTGAGCGTAAGAGAGAAGGAGAAAAGGCTGGAAGCAAAGAGGAGGATGGAATAAGAATTGGTTAGTTTTCTAGGGTTTTAAAGAATAAGTAAATGTGTAGGAAGTAGCCCCAGAGCACACGTTATCCAGAATAGGGAGAGAGTAAGGCTTTTTTTTTTTTTTTTTTTTTTTTTTTTTTTTTTTTGAGTAAGGCATTCTATAGCTGTTGCTTTCTTTGTGTGAGTAAGGCTAAGGGGCATGTGCCTGCGTGTGTGCGCATGTGCACGTTGTGTGTGTCTGTGTATACGTCCAGGTAAATAAGTAACTAGGAAGCAATCAGAGTCTATTATCTTCATCGGTTTGGCTGCTTTCACAGAACACCACGGACTGTGTAGCTTATAAACAACAGAAATGTATACCTCACAGTTCTGGAGGCTAGAAGTTTGTGATCATGGTGCCAGCATGGTTGGATTCTGGCAAGAGTCCTCTTCTGAGTTGCAGACTGCTCTTTTCTTGTGCCTCAGATGGCAGAAGGGGAGTGAGAGAGCCGTCTGATGTCTGTTTGGTGAGGGCACTAATCCTGCTCAAGAGGGCTTCCCCCTCATGACCTAATTAACCTCCCCCAAGTCCCACCTCCCAGTGCTGTCATATTAAGGGTTTGGTTTTCAACAGAGGAATTCCGAGGGGGGACACAGACATTTAGTCCCTAGCAGTATACATTTCTGCTCCCCCTTCTTTCCCGGTGGCTCTCTCCAGGAGAATCCTATTTGTCCTCAGCCACATTTGTTCGTCATTCCGTATTCACTCTTACCACTTATTTAGTGCCAGGCCTTGTGGTAGAAATTGGAGATGCAAGGTTGAATAAATTCAGTTTGTACATAAAGGGAGCATAGTCTCGAGGGGGCCAATGGGCGTTGTGCCTGCAACAACTCTCACTGAGAGCCTGAGAAGTGCAGCAGAGAGCCTAGAGTCACTCTGTTATCAGTGAAGTGTCAACTGTACAGACTTTCAGAGCTGGAGGGAATTTTGGACATCTGCTCAGTGCATGGCTTTCAAACAGCGCCTTGTGGCATCCTAGGGCCTTTGCAAATATTTCTGAGGGGTTGCAGTGTGTGAGAGGGAAGATTGAATCACAAGATGTCTGGGGTCCTCCTTCCTCACACTTCAAGCAGAGCTGCTTCGCTTCTGTTTTATTTGTTCATCATCCATATCCAAATGAAGTTGAGGAGGGGGTACCGCTATTGCTAAGTGTTTAGCCATGCCCCACATCCATGCAGGAACGTAGCGAACCTTTTGTGGACAAAAGGTATTGTGGTTTGCTTGAGGTGATGAAAGAAATGTTTCTGGTCATGTGCCCATAAAGACTATGAAATCTCTTCATTCAGGGATTTGCTGAAATACCAAATAAGCAAAGATCTTCTGTGCTTCTAAAATCATTCTAAGATTTTTCCCTCAAAAGGTTAGCTCTCTCATAAGACTTCAAACTCCCCGAGGGCAAGAATTTCACTTTAGTCATTTTTGTTTCTCAAGTGAGTAATGCTGTGCCTGACGCGTGTGAGCATTAATCCAATTTTTGGTGACTATATGAAGAAATAATGGAAAATAATGGATTCATTGGATTCAGAACAGGTCTTCTGACTGATTATGGGACACAAAATAAAATTCTGGAACCTTATTCAATTCTCAGTAACCTGACTTGCTGAATATACATATCTTCGTTATCCTGTGTTAGCTGTAACTATAGCAATCAAATTAGATATTGATTGGTGTCAGAGAAGAGCTGAACATTTGGCTCTGAAGCAGTGTCATGTCTTCCATCTGTGAACACCCCGTCTCCTGTCCCTTCTTAGTGAATCCTGGAATCTAAGTCACAAATATTGACAGAATCCTGCCAAATGTATTGCTCAGAGGAGGGCTATGTAGCTTCTTTCCTTGTGATGCACTGACTCACTGAACGGCTACCCTTGTGGATTCCAATTAACAGGAGTTCTTGTTCTTTCTGGTCAGACTTATAGGCAAATCTAACATCTCCGGGATCCCTGTAGCCACTTCTGAGTGTGGGCTGGAAGCACTCAGACACCCATGGAGGTGCTCAGTGACCAACCCAAGCGAACCATGACTGTATGACTTGGGCTTGACCAGACTGAAACTATCTATTGTGGTTCTCCACTGAGAAGGTGCCTTTTGGGCGTGAGAAGACGTAACATAACTAGAACAACATAACTAGATAGTGTCTGGAAAGGGTGCTTTTCCCAGTTTTACCAAAGGGGTTAACCTATAAAGCTGCTCCTGGTACATGCACACACATACACACACTCTCAGCCACTGATGTATTCATGGAAAGAGGCTTTAGTAAAGAGTGGAAGCCAAGATTTTATATATAGACCAAAAAGGGCAGGGATAGTGTTCTTAGAAGGGAGTTGACAAGAAAAAATGAGTGGGAAATATCAGAAAGGGAGACAGAACATGAGAGACTCCTAACTCTGGGAAACGAACTAGGGGTGGTGGAAGGGGAGGTGGGCGGGGGGTGGGGGTGACTGGGTGACGGGCACTGAGGTGGGCACTTGACGGGATGAGCACTGGGTGTTATTCTATATGTTGGCAAATTGAACACCAATAAAAAATAAATTTATATACTAAAAACAAGAAGGGAGTTGACAGGCAATTGCTGTAAGTTAGACCAAGAAAGCAAAGAAAGGCCCTGAAAAGCTACGGGAATAGGAAGGATCCTGCTTTTGATTAGCAATTCATAAGTCTTAAATTTTATGCTTTTTTGGGCTGTCGCCTTTATCTGGAGTAAATGGAATATTTTAAAAATTGTTCCTCAGACTCTTATCTGTACATTCTGAGACCACAACTTTATAGGTGGGTATAATTTTCTTCATTCTGAGCAACTGAATTCTATAGCTAAGGACACAGAGACAGACCTTTTGTCAGGAAGCAGAGACCCACTTTTAGCTAGGGGACTTATCAGTAGTAACTTTTCCTCAAAGCAAGTCCCAAATCTCAAAGATGGCTCCATTTTGGAGGTGGGGGTTGGGCAAAATGGGTGGAGAGAGGGAGATACAGGCCTCCAGTCACGGAATGAGTAAGTCATGGGAATAAAAAGAAGAGCATAAGGAATAGTCAGTGATATTCTGGTAGGATGTAATGGGACAGATGGCAGCTATACTTGTGGTGAACACAGTGCAGTATATAAATGTGTCAAATCACTAACTTGTACACCTGAAACTAATGTAACATTGTATGTCAACTTTACTAAAAAAATCCAAAACACAAAAAAACAAAAAACCCCAAAAACCGTGGCTCTGTTTTTTTCTGGGATGCTCATTCTTCCTCTGAACTGGCTTTTCAAAAGCTGGAGTGCTTACTTTGGCAGCACATATACTAAAATTGGAATGATACAGAGAAGATTAGCATAGTCTCTACACGAGGATGATATACAGATTCATGAAGCATTCCATATTTGGGACGCCTGGATGGCTCAATAGGTTAAGTGTCCGACTCTTGACTTCAGCTCAGGTCATGATCTCAGGGTCATGAGATCGAGCCCCTAGTTGGGCACACGGCTTGGTGGGGATTCCACTTGAGATTCTCCCTCTCTCCCTCTCCTTCTGCGCCCCCCCCAACACTCTCATTCTCTCTCTAAAATAAATACATAAATCATAAAAAAAAGCTGGAACCATATTTCATTCTTTCACCCACATTCAGTACATGTGGAGCACCTACTATATGCCAGGTTCTGCACCTTCATTAGTTAATTAGCCACTGTCCTTATCTTCAGGAGTATCCTGGGAAAATGGACAACTGTTTCCAGTATGTATCACAACCAAAAAAGCCAACCAAAGATAACACTGAGAACAAAACCAATAATTGATTTTGCTCACAAATCTCTAATTTTGGCAGGGTTCAGAACACCAACTCCTCTCTGTTGCATGTCTTCTGGAGAAGTTCAAAGGCTGCAGGCTGGATCACCTGAAGGCTTGCTCATTAATCTATCAGGAGGTCGACTGCCTGTAGGCTGATAGCTGGGGCTGTGGCCACAACACCTACGTGTGGCCTATCTGTCCAGTCTTTCCAGTTCTTCACTACATGATGATGTGAACTTTAGCATTTAAATTCTGTACCTCTAAGTGCAGAATGCTTTTGCCTTCAACTTGCCTTGAGTTTTGAGATGTTGGTTGAGTTATGGGAAGCCCACATATTTACCAATACTGAGGTCTGCACACAAGTTCCGTAATTTTGATGTGGATTCAAGATACTGTTGGTATGTGCTGAGCATGTCACAGATGCAGTCAATCCCCTTCTCCTGTCCCCTTTGCCTACCCATGCTCACTGGCAGCTGCTGTAGACGGTTTCCAGAGAATGGACAGCTTCCTACCCCAGCACCTGCTTTGCTTTGTCTCTGCCTAGGGGCTTGCTTTCTTTCTTTTTTTTTTTTTCTTTCTTTCTTTCTTTCTTTCTTTGATTTTATTTATTTATTCATGAGAGACACAGAGAGAGAGAGAGGCAGAGATACAGGCAGAGGGAGAAGCAGGCTCCACACAGGGAGCCCAGTGTGGGACTCGATCCCGGGTCTCCAGGATCACGCCCTGAGCCGAAGGCAGACGCTCAACCGCTGAGCCACCCAGGTGCCCTGCCTAGGGGCTTTCTTGGCATCCCAAGAAGCTTGAAGAGAGAGCCTCAGACAGATTCAGCCCAGAAGTGCAGGGACATCAGGACCCCTGGCGTGGGGGTGGGGGGTCACTCACAACCAGTATGAGATGGAAATCAAGGGGTAAATGCTGCAGTCTTCACAGTAGAATAATTCAGAGCAGGGATGACTCTATTTTGCATGACTGGACTTGGCTGACCTTGAGAGCACATGCCTCCTTGCAGTTCGCACCTTCTTCTCCCCACTTTTGTCCTGATTCTAAAGCAAGTTCCTCAGTTTCTGAGAGGGTTCCCAGCAGGACTGAGCCCCAGTAGCTCGTAGTTAATGGCTTCCTTATTCATATAGCCTTTGCTGATATTTCTCCTCCTGTTATCCTTTCTTTCTTTCTTTCTTTCTTTCTTTCTTTCTTTCTTTCTTTCTTTCTTTCTTTCTTCTTTAAGTTTGTTTATTTATTTATTTATTTATTTATTTATTTATTTATTTATTTATAAGAGACACACAGAGACAGAGACATAGGCAGAGAGAGAAGCAGGTTCCCTGCGGGGAGCCTGATGCAGGACTTGATCCCAGGACCCTGGGATCACAACCTGAGCCGAAAGCAGATGCTTAACCATTGAGTTACCCAGGCATCCCCTGTCTCACTTTCTTGTCCCTCTTTTCTCACTGGTGTGTGCTGGGGTCTTATTTCAGATATAGTACCAATACCCATTTCCTTCTTGGCCTCTACTCCCAAGGGAAGGTAAACTCAAGGCAGGCATTGCTTAGGAATGATGTTTTCTCCCCCACTGCCACCCGGCAGTGATTTATTTAAGCACATGATCAGTTTACGATATGATTCCAATAATTATAAGGGTTATCTTCTCTGAGACAGAGCTGGAACTCAGATGCTTCAGGTGCTCAAGATTAGGCAATTACTATCTTCCAGAGACCTCTTTGTACAAGTTCAAACACATATGTGTGGGCACTTTTGTTTTTTAGGTGATTGAGGAAAGAGGTGCCAGATGTTGCTCCTGTGTGTGCTTTTGTTTTGCTTTGTTTTTTGTTTTTTTCTGTATGTGTGTGTGTGTGTGTGTGTGTGTGTGTGTGTATGTGTTAGTGCAGAGACACTTGGAGGTGTGAGGGGAGATAAAGACCATACAAGGCTAGGAAGGCAAAAATTGTCTGGATAGTTGCCTCACACTCTTCCCTTACTGTGTCCTCACGGCTGAGGGCCTGGTTGGGAGCCTCTGTGGGAACAGTGCCAGAGCAAGTAACAGAGTCTGTATTTTGTGAGACACTGGGAAGGCTTGGGGTACACACATTCCTGCTTTGGGACCAAAGTGGCCAAAGGCAGCACACAATGAGCAACACATGCCCTGCACCCTCCTCCCGCCCTCTGCCCCAGCCCCAGCACGCAGAGGGCGGGCTGCTTCTGCCTCAGAGCCGGGTCTGTAGAAATGTCCAGAACTTGGTGGAGAATCAGGAAAGACCCAAGGCAGGGCGTGGCGGCTGGGCCAACAGAGGCTGCGTTTTCTGTCAGGGGCTAGTGGGCTGTAGGCTGTCCCTGAGCAGGACAGAGCAAAAGGCCTTGGGCAGGGCAACTTTGAGGAGGAGGATAAATTCCTACATGGACAGGTAGAGGCACAGAGCTGACCAAGTTTGGGAGACTTTGTTCCTGTGGCCTCCTTCCGACTCACAGGCTCCTCGGCTGTGTGCTTTTGCTGTGAGCTCGCTGGCAGCCACATGATTTCAACAACCTGTGGACAAAAAGCTTGGGAGTCAATTGTCCCACACTCTAGCTCTGTCACTAACAACACCATGGGGCAAGTCACGTTTCTGATTTCTCTGTGCCTCAGTTTCCTTCATTGTATAATGACCTCCTTGGCAAGATGAAAGCTGAAGGTTCTTTATATAAAGTATTTTTAATTTTTATTATTTTTTAATGATTTTATCCATTCATTTATTTGAGAGAGAGAGAGAGAGAGAGAGCGGGAAGGGGAGGGGGAGGGAGAGAGAATCTGAAGCAGACTCCCACGCTGAGCACGGAGCCTGACTCAGGTTTCCATCCAACCACCCCAAGATCATGACCTGAGTTGGAAGCCTAACCGACTGAGCCACCCAGGCGCCCTGGAGGTTCTTTTTAATTTTAAGCTAACCAGAGTTCTTTCTCCAGAAAGCGTTGTTGGACCTACAGAGACCTAGAGAATGTCCCATCATGGTGGGATACCCCTCCTGCCTTGGAGTTCAGAAGTGGTCTGCGGGCCTGGGATCCTCTTTCTCCTGCGGACCTCTTGGAGAAAGTGCCATGTTATGGACAGACCCTGTGGCATTGAAGAGGACCGTCAGCCACAGCTTTTGCCTGAATTTCCACTTCGAGGCTTTATCTTAAATGTTTGAGAGATAACTCCTAAATTGATATTTTATTGTCCTTGAGCCCCCATTCTTTTGCTGAGTTCATCACAGATCACAAATGTGAGCATGAAACAGTTTGCCAAACTGGCAACTAACTGCACCTATTTGTGGTTAGTTTGGAACGAACCTGAAAGTGCCTCTTGCAGCTGTCTGCTTATTCTCTGCCCAGCCTCTGATTTCTCTCCCATGCTTTATAACTGACACCTTTTTATTATTTTTACTCCCCGCAGAGCTGGCTGATTGCTGTTTCAGAAAGTTAAATGGAAAGCCTCCAGTGGAGGTGTGATATCATGGTATCCCTGCTTTCAAGAGTGGAAAGCCCATCTTCACGGTGTCATAATCTGGGAGCCGAGGGCGAGATTTCTCTGAGTTAGTGGCTTCTCCTGGCCAAGGCTGTGCTCTCGGTGGCACAGCAGAACTGGCTGTGAACTGTTCCTTCATTTCTGATTAGCAGCCGAGCTGGTCAGTGATCACATGAGATCAGTCTGACAATAAGAAAATGCCACTCTGCTTCAGAAGTGATATTTAAGGAAGGGTATTGTCCCAAGGGTCCCAACCGGGCAAGACTGTTGAAAGAAAACAAAAATCACATGTGATCCAATCAGAGGGTCAGGGGGAAAACACATGATGAAAAAGAAATGTTTAGAAGCAAATTATTAATATCTGAATATGCCAGTATAATCTAATAACAAGAATATCTAATTTTTTGAATACCGATTATTTATCAGCTGTGTTCTGAGCACTTCTCTATATATTAACCCACTGATCCTTACCACCACCCTGTGGGGCAGGTATTATTATCCTTACTTTATAGACGAGAAAACCACAGCACAGAGATGGCAAATATATGGCAAATAAATGGCCGAGGGCACTCAGCTACCAAAGGGTCAAGTCTGGGATTTGAAACCAGACCATTTGGTTTCAGAGCGTCCACACTTAATCACTCTACAGCTTCAAGAGCAAGGCTGTGTCTATCCACATGGCAAATGAAGAAAGGAAGGTCATCATCTAGAAGCATATGTCGGGACAAATTAGAAGTGGAGGCGACACCTTAATTTATATAGTGAAGTGTGTCAACTATATCTCAATACAACCTAGAGAGAAAAAAGAAGTAGAGGCCACAGTGAATCCAAACCCTCTGGCATGGCTTCTCACGCCTTCCTGAGCCACTTTGGTGAGCCTTCCTACCCCGAATGCTGCCTCTGCCCGTGGAACGAATTTCCTGGAATCCAATAGGCAACTTTGTCTATACCCAACTTGATTTGCTCAACTCCCTGCGCTTTTATATACCTTTACATACCCTTCCTGGAAAGTTCTTCCATCTAAGTTTGGAGAAATCCTCAGCTCTTTGGACTCAACTCAAATGTCAACTCACCCTTGTGACCTTCTCAGGCATTTCTGGCTGGGTTGTTGCTCATTTGCTCC